ATCGGTGTGTTCGAGAATAGTTCTCGCTTCGTTTATGTTTTTTGTTATGACTGTTCGATGTCCTCCATCCACATTTTGCCTGTAGGCGATCCAACTTTTCCTTTTCTTCTCCCATGCTAACCAATGAAACGACTCAATGCAATGTTGACAAATGAAAACGACTCGAAAGAATGTAAACCGCTGCCCCGCGTTGGGTGCCATGTTATGAACAGAAAAATGGATAATTTATTGTCTTGTAACATGTGACTATACGCACGCGTTATCCTTGCATGTACCGATTTGTAATGATTGCAACAATGTGCATGTGTAGGTTCTGCTTTTTTTCAAGACGGATTCACAAAATGTGTTCATATAAGTAAGTTCCTGGGTATATAAGGTCCAGAGCCCCACTGTGGACACAAAAACAAAATATCTTTGTACAGTGATTTGCCCCCCCAAAATAATGCATGCCCACAATGTGTTTGAAGTTGCTGAACGTTGTCGCATTCAAGCTGATATTTTAAACCCACGCTCGATCAGACACTTGCAGCTTTGCAGATCACTGAAATGTAAACAAAATCCTGTATGTCAAGGTTTGGCGTCGATATCTAGTAAAATCTTCCCCAAAATCGGTTTCAAAGTGAGAAATAAAATTAAATTATGCTTTGTGTTGTCAAGTTAAAAAAAACTCTCTGAGGATCGGAACGAATAAATTCCAATAACACAACCTGAAAGCACATAAGGCCAGTGAAGGACAAACTTTAAGACACTTGTTTTGGTAGCCAAGTATGGATAAATAAATACTATGGTTGCGTTTATTTGATTGCAGTTTCACGCATTAACTTGTAAACACAAATAGCATGCATCCAAAATAAATTTATAAATGATAAGAGTGATCAGTAGTTTTGCTGAGGGACCAGTAAGTCTTAATCCTACTGGTCCTATGGAAAACCGGACCCAAAAGTTAATTGTGAGCACTGGTTGCTTGAGACTTTTAAACCCTCTTACGCATTAAGCAAGGTGAAAAATGAAAACGATGCTGTCGGAAATCGGATTACCGAATTTTGACAAGCGATGCATTTCTCAACCAAAAAACCCAATAAACAAAACAGCCATGAATAACAGACTCTTGATAGCAGCTGTATTTCATTTTCTACATCCAGTGGAAAAAGACAATTACTTCAGCTGTCAAAGTAAACAACTTTCAAGATGCTGCATAAATTTTCCACATGAACTCACGTGTCAAGTTTTGACCAATCAGAGCATAAAAATTGGACATAGAGCGTGACCAATGCTTGACCATGGTAAGAAAAGGTCTTCCCCGCCTGTATTTGTAAAAAACTGGCTGAATTTTCGCGTCTGAGGTCAGTTTGAAATCAAAATCTTAATAGTGCGGGGCCATAATGACATAAACACAAGATATTTGATATGAATCATTGGAAAAAATAAAATTGAGCCTGCGATCATTAGAAACTGGTAATTTGTCAGCAGAAAACTTCAAAAAATACTCGACCCCAATGGGTTGACACTTGAACCCACGCCACGGCCATGTGATACTGGTCAGCGGATACCCTGTTTTCACAGCTGTCAATTGATCACAACATTGATGTTCAATTATGTGCAATCTCCTGGGCTCCCAAACTAGCTAGAAAGTGTGAGAATAAACATTGGTTTCCCTGTGGTGCGGACGGATGGTCATTCGTTTGGTACGGTCACTTAAAGACTTAATGTGTTTTTGACCTTCTGTTGTTTATCTGAAGCAAAAGAAAAAGTGGGCTTCCCTAGAAAAGTGCTCTTGAACAACTTTTTATGTTACAGTCAGTGATGTATAGTAATTATCAATGTATAGACATCGTCCTACATTTAGATATGGCTGTATAAGCCTCATGACTAGGTCATCAGTTTTATCCTTAGCACTGGGTGGATCTGTATTTGCACCACAATTAATTTCAAACATGCAATTATGACCATTGCTAGAGTCAGATCTTATACTCATCTGGCTTGTGCACTTTGAAATGCACCTTTTGAAAGGTCTCTTAAGGATATGTTTAATTGATTACTCCAAGTAATAAAGTCCGACCAGAAGCTCTTAGTACAGGAACGTATAATTAACAAATGCTCAAGGGATTCGCTCTCTTGTTTACAAAATGTACATAATGGTGAATTTGCCAGACCAATTTTATGAAGAAAAGAATTTGTTATCAAGTACCTGTTTAAAATTCTATACTGGAAGTCTCTGGATTTGGTGTCTATGAGAACATTAGGTAATTTATAAATATCGTGCCAATCAAGGCATATATCAGGAAACTGTTCTTCAAATCTCGCTTGTGCAGTTGGTCTGGTTTCATAACCTGCTCTAATTTCAGAATAAACATTCTTGGAAAGGACGCTCTCGATCTGTACGGCCTGATTTTTAAGATAGAGTTTAATTTGATCATACAAAAAAAAAAAAGTTTTACCACTTTTGGGTCCCCAAGATGTCAAGGATTTTCACCATTGAGTTGGTAGGGCCTCAAAAATTTGAATTAAGTGAAACCATTCCAGGGGTGTGAAAGGTAACCCATTTGGATTCGGCTTAATTAGTAAAACATTTGTGTCGGTCACAAGATTTTCTAGGGTGATTATTCCTTTGTCAAAAAGGCTTTGATAGAATACCGATTTTCCGTCGATCAGAATGTGTCTGTTGTTCCATATAACTGTGCTAGATCTGGAAGAGTTACTTAAATTAAGGATCTGTTCCCTTACAGACACAGAGTGTTCAGAGAAGGTTTGTAAACATTCTACATAAAATTTGGGTAAGGTGACTGGAAGTTTCTTAACGCTGAAATTACAGCTTAAAAGTAGTCTACCCCCGACCTGTCTTAGATAATACGAAAGAATTATTTTCCAACTGTTTTGCTGAAAATTGGCGATTTTTTTAAAACACATAATTCGCTGTGCTTTAATAATTGACTCCAAATGTGGTGCTCTTAGACCTCCATTTTCAACATCACTTATTAACGCTGAGCGTTTCACTTTATCTTTTCCTTTCCAAATAAAATTAAAAATGATTTTATTAACTTCCTTAACAATCTCCTTATGCGAACAAACTAAACCAGCCCTATACATAAAAACCGGAATAACAAGAGATTTTATTGTCTGAATACGCCCAAGGACCGTTAAGTTTCTCCAATTCCAGCAGTTCAACCTTTCCTTTATAGTCTTCAGAGTCTCATCAAAAATTTAACTTTCTCCACAGAGTCTGATCACATGTAAAGTGTACTCCTAAAATCTTGATAGCGTTTTTAGCTGTGATGTTTCTATTTTTAGCCAGGGATATGACAGTCTCCGTTGTTGATTTTTGATCGTTTCCCAAAAACAATACCTCAGTCTTTTCAAAGTTGATTTTTAGTCCGGAGTGCAACGAGAAGCTATCAAACGTGTTTAATAAGGTGATCTCTGGCGTGATCTCTGAGGAATGCAGTGATATCGTCAGCAAACATTTCAAGTTTTATCTCTTCATTTCCAACCATAATTCCATGAATATCTTTATTAAGACGTATATTGATAGCGAGGATTTCCAAACAAATTATAAGTAAATAAGGGGATAATGGGTCTCCTTGCCTGACACCTCTGGATATCTTAAAAGGGGGTGTCGTGTAACCGTTATTCATAACAGTGCTGGAAATATTTTTGTAGAAAATTTGTATCCATCTAATTAAAGATGGGCCAAAGTTAAAAACAGAGAGTGCCTTGAACATAAAGTCATGATTAATCGAATCAAAAGCTTTCTGGAAATCTATAGCTACTAACAATCCATTCATTTGATATCTTTCTGTAAATTCCATAATATCGTCAATGGTTCTCACCGCATCAAAGATCG